TATTCCTTTGCTTGAGGATATATACTGGTATATATTTTTCTAGATCTTTACAACATGTTACTGTGTATGTGCTCTTTTGCTTTTAAAGAAGTGTTCAGAATTTTAGTTTTTTCTATTTTATAAAAATAAGATCACTTTGTTTAGTAATCTTAAATTTTTTATATTGCCTTTATTAAAAGACAATAGCATTCAGAAATGAGACAGTATGTGGTAGATGATGGTGATGAGTGTAACAGATACGGAGAATGCTTCTTCCTTTGCAGGCCTTACTATCAGTGCCTTATTGATTTTAGTTCCCTTAATTCCTGTTGTTCTATGAGGTAGATAGTATTTTTATTCCCTCTCTCTAGATGAGGTACCTGGGGTGATTGAATTCACACCCACACCATCTGGCTCCAGTCTGCAGCCCACTGTTGTGCTAGCTGCATTTCCTAGGAAAGGGCAAGGCGTGTTAATAAATTATGTGGAAATTGAGGCCATGTCTCATTGATGGATTAGCTTATTTTCTTCCTTCTATGGGAGCTGTGTAGTTTTTATTCGGAGCTCAAGTAGGCCAAGGAAGGGTCTCTTGAAATCTGATTTTTTTTCTCTTCTGTTGAGACAGATTTCTAAATCTGTACTGGTTTTATTTATTAGAATTGATGCATGCCTGACTTGCACAATACTTGGAGATCTGCCAGAACAGAGCATCTGCCTTTAAATTTGTCTCCTGTTCATTTCCTTTTTTTATGTGAAAGACAGAGTTGCAGAGGCAGAGGCAGAGAGGGAGAGAGAGAGATCTTCCATCTGCTGGTTCACTCCCCAAGTGGCCTCAACGGCTGGAGCTGGGCTGATACAAATTCAGGAGCCAGGAGCTTCCACCAGGTCTTCCCATGCCTGTGCAGGGGCCCAAGGACTTGGGCCATCTTCTGCTTTCCCAGGCCATAGCAGAGAGCTGAATCAGAAGTAGAGTAGTCAGGACTCAAGCTGGCGCCCATATGAGATGCTGGCCCTGCAGGTGGCAGCTTTACCCACTATGCCACAGCGCCAGCCCTTCATTTTCTATGTTCAAAAAAGAAGAGATTGATACAAAAGGAAAACAGAATGTGTGATCTTGGTTTCTAAATACCCTTCTATGGTAAAAACAAGTCAGGAACCCTTGGAGAAATGATTTGATTTCAAATTTGGGGAAATTCAAAATGAGCTTGGAACATCTTTTGGTAGCAGAAATTATGAGAGTGCTCCCCCGCCCCAAAACCAAAGTGACACAGGACACAGTACTTTCAAGAATTCTCATTGACCAAAGCTTGGACAAAATAAACAGTGGTAGTGAATTATCTATCTATCTATATATATATATATAAAATTAATATCCACAAATCCTTACTAAAAACACAACTTGGAGAAATGGCTGATATTCTTTAAGAATTTTTTTTAAAGATTTATTTTATTTGAAATGCAGAGTAACAGAGAGAAAGATCTTCCACACACTGTTTCACTCTCCAAATAGCCTCAATGGCCAGGGCATGGCTAAATTGAAGCCAGGAGCCTGAAACTCTAGCCAGGTCTCCCATGTGGATGGCAGGGGCCCAAGTACTTGTTCCATCCTCTGCTGCTTTCCCAGGTGCATTAGTAGGGAACTGGATAAGAAGTGGAGCAGCTGGAACTTGAATCGACACACATATAGGATGCCAGTGTTGCAGGTGGAGGCTTAACCCGCCATGCCACAACACTGGCCCTGAGCACCTCATCTGTACAGAGAATTCTAATTAATACATATGGAAGCTGACAGGCCCCACTTGAACCAGTGTTCAGAGCTTCCCAACTCCAGTAAGAGGACATGTTGATAGTGTGTATCTCGGCAGTCACCACAAAGAGCACAGCCTCAGTGCTGTCATTCTTGCTCGAAACGCATAACCTCCGATATTCCTGAGGAAGCTTCAGATGCATCCAGAATAACAGACCGTAGCGGCTGGGGCCACTGCCTGCATGCCAGCTTCCCTTGTGGGTGCCAGTTCACGTCCCGGCTGCTCTGCTTCCGATCCAACTCTGCTGTGACCTGGGAGAGCAGTGGAAGATGGCCCAGGTGCTTGGGGTCCCTGTGCCTGTGTATGGGAAACCTGGGAGAAGGTCCTGGCTTCAGATCAGTGCAGCTCTGGCTGTTGCAGCCATCTGGGGAGTGAGCCAGTGGATGGAAGACCTCTCTCTCTCTCTCTCTCTCTCTCTCTCTTTCTCTCTCTTTCTGCCTCTGCCTTTCAAGTGGATAAATAAATCTGTAACAGACCAGTGTTCCTCAGAAGTATCATTCTAAAGAGAGAGAGGGTACACTCAGAAGTGGGAAGAGATAAGGAGACATGGCAACTAAATTCAGTGTTGAACCCTAGAGTGGATCGTGGGACAGGAGAAGGGTGCAGGTAGTAATACTAATCTAGTGGAAGTTAAATAGGGTATGTGGGAGGCCGGCTCTGTGGTTTATGTGGTTAAAGCCCTGGCCTGAAGCACTGGCATCCCATATGGGCACCCGTTCTAGTCCTGGCTGCTCCTCTTCCGAGCCAGCTCTCTGCTGTGGCCTGGGAAAGCAGTAGAAGATGGCCCAGGTCCTTGGACCCCTGCACCAGCGTTGGAGACCCAATAGGAAGCTCCTGGCTCCTGGCTTCAGATCGGCGCAGCTGCAGTCGTTGCAGCCAACTGGGGAGTGAACCATCGGATGGAAGACACCCCCCCCCCCTCCGGTCTGTGTAAAATAATAAAATCTTGATTCTAAGCTTCTAAGCACCCGCTTAGAAGACCCGGAAGAAGCTCCTGGCTTCTAGCTTCCAATCGGTGCAACTCCGGCTGTTGCTGCCATCTGGGGAGTGAACCAACAGATGGAAGACCTCTCTCTCTGTCTCTAACTCTCTCTTGTAACTCTTTCAAATAAATAAAATAAATCTTTAAAAAAATAGGATATATGGATTAATAGCATTATACCATGGTTAATAAATTTTAATCATAAAATAAAGTTCTTAGCATTAGAGGAAGTTGGACAAAGGATAGTGAAACTATTTTGTTGCTTTTCTGTTAAAGTTATTTTAAAATAAGTAAAAATACTAAAAATATTTAGTTAGGCTGATGTGGTACAATACATTAAACTGCTGCCTGTTAATACCAGTACCCATATGGATGCTGGTTTGAGTTTCAGTTGCTTTGTTTCTTATCCAGCTCCCTGATATATTTGGGAAAGCAGCAGAAGATGGCCAAAGTGCTTGGGCCCCTGTCACCTACCTGGGAGACTTGGGTGGAGTTTCAGGCTCCTGACTTCAGCATGGCTTGGCCCTGGCTGTTAAGACTATTTGGGGAGTGACTTAGCAGATGGAAGATCTCTCTCTTCCTCCTACTCCACCCTCTTTGTAACACCGTCTTTCAAATAAATCTTAAAATGAGGAAACAGTCTGTGTCTAGGCCATAGTAGACTGCAGGGTTTCATATGTGCAGGGTCAGAGTCAGATGGTTGAGGAGTGGACATGCTCTCAAGGGGCTTACCATTCTTCAAGAGACTGAGCGAGTCAGGCAAGCAGAACAAACCATTGCCTTCAGTTAAGTGATGCCTACAGTGTATGCAATTGAAGTTTCAGTGGCAGTGTGGTATGAAACCCCAACAAGTCTGTAAACTAGAAAACTCTTATGGGATTTAAATAACTTTGTATCCAGATTGACTTCTTCATAGTAGGTTATGCCATGTTTGTATTTGGACATCAGCAACCAAAAGCCCTCAGAGGGTATTGCAGAAAACAGATTTCTTCAGTATCCAGCATTCCAACTGTTTAGGCATCATTTGCTTCATGCAATATATACTTAAAAAAAGAAGAAAGGAGAGAAAAAGGAAAAAATGTGGCCCAATGCAGAATTGGATGGCAGCTTCCTTATGGTTTCTTCTGGGACAGTGGTCACAACCTAAGGGAAAATTAATGGCACAGGAGGAAGGAAGGGAGGAGAGGAGGAGCGGCACTGGTGAGGGTCTCTGGTAGGAAGGGCAGGGGCGTGGTGGATGCACGGCTGTTAGGAACAGGAGGCTCAGTAAACCGCCTCTGTGCTCAGGGAGCATTCTCCCCCCACCTCTTCTGTTTTCCATCAAAGAGTCCCTAGGTCTTAGATTTTGTTATCACAAAAATGGTTTTGTGCTAGAAAGTAGATGCTGGGCAGGCATTTGCCGTAATGGTTAAGATGCTGCTTGCTGTTTCCAAGTGCCTGGACTTGAGTCCTGACTCCATTCGTGATTCCAGCTTCCTGCTAATGTAGCCCTGGGAGGCAGAGAAAACAGAGAAGGCGGGAGGGAGGAACCCAGTCCTGGGATTTGTCTTTAGGAGCTTATTTTGGACATGTTCCAATTGGACATGATCTCTTTTGGTTAAAAAAAGGTGACGTTGGCGGAGGGGCCGTGGGTGTCCAAGGAGAAGATGTAGGCCAGGTGGCAGCCCTCCTCCTTTGTTTTATGGGAGTGGAGGGTGAGGCTGTTTTCCTCCGCTTTCTCCCCTTTCCACTGTCATGTCCTCCCAGTCTCCAGTCCCCAGACTGATTTCAACTGTTTTTCCCAAACTGTTGAAGTGTCTCACTTCCATATAAAACTTTGTTCTGTCTCCCTCTGTTTCAATAATTGTTATTAGTGGGAGAGGAAATGGAGTAAACTGAGCTCAGTTGAACTGAACTGTTTGCCCAAAAGGAAAAGAATAAAAGGAGAGTGCTGACTGCCTTTCCTCCCCAGGAAAGCAGGGAGGCCTCAGGCACATCGCCCTCCCTTACTGGCCTCTAAAAATAGATGGCAATGACGTGGTCTGCGCTGGTGCTGCTCTGTTCCCAGGCCCTTCTGCTGCTCAGTGTCCAGCTCTGGAATGTTCTTGCCTTGCCTCTTTGTTTTTCTAATGAAATCTCAGATGTGCTAATTTAGACCCAAAAGAGATAATAATGAAGCCTGGATTTTGATCACTTCAATGTAATCATTTGTAAAAATGGATTGTAAAATAACTATTCTCTTGTTGGTACAGAATTTCAGAAACTCTGGAGGAGTGTCACTGTGGATTCAATGGATGAGGAGAAAATTGAAGAATATCTGAAGCGACAGGGTATTTCTTCCATGCAGGAATCTGGACCAAAGAAAGTGGTGTGTAATCTCTGGAAAAGCCATCCAACCTTCCTCCTCTGCATTGTTACCCTGCTTCCTGTAGTTGTCTCTGTCCTGCGATTTGCTCAGATGCCATTCAGCACATGTCTGCCTTGCAGACCCGTGGACATGCCCCTGGCTGCTGCCCCTCAGGCCCGGCCTCCCTGCAGCATCCCCTGCTGTTTGTAGGCCCCAGCATCGTCCACTGTTTCCCCTCCTACCCTCAGCACGCGTCCCCTGCCTTCTGTGAGGAGCCTGCTCTTCATCTGCTTGGGCTTCAAGACCTCAGTTGTGCTCCCCTCCCCCTTGCTCCCTGAGCCTCATGGTCTTGGTTCCCGGCTCTGTCATGGCCTTGATCACACTGAATTGTCCCTGTTGATCTTTGAGTCTCTCGGAAATCATATTTTGGTCTTTATAGCGCCTAAGTCCTGCTCATCAGAGACCTTAGTAACCAAATGACAACTCGAAAATCGTCTTGTGCCAGCTAACTGCAGGCTCTATGTAGTCCAGGAACAAAGCCAGCTTGGAGAATAACCCACCAGCACCCTTGACTGTGGCTACTCTGCCTCTCTCCTCAGGCCCTAGGCCCCCATCGTACTTTGTAGCTTGTCTGTGGCTTTGTGGGGTGTGTGTTATTCAGTGAGCATTCAGAACTCAGAAATGGAAGATTGACTGCCGGTAATTTCTCCAAGAAGCAGTGTCATTGCAGCCCTTCATGAGTTCCGATCACTGCTTAATTTGTGGACTTAACAATTTTTTTTTCATTTAATGATGCAGAACACTAATGCTGACTTGACATATTCATATATAATTTTTTCTCTCACATTAACAATTCAACAGAATAATCGAGAGGAAAAGCTAAACACCATATGCAGTATACTCTGATACTGGAATTTAAAAAGTTTATTCCAATCCATTTTTTTTTCTATACTAAAAAAAAAAAAACTTTGTTAACATTGATGAGGTAGATCCACAGGAACACGGTGGTGCCCAAGGGCAGCCCAGTGTTCAACCGGTCAGGTTTGTCATTTGGCCCCTCCTGCACGTAGAATTTTGACCATGCTGAAGAATGCTGGGGAGCGTGGCGGGGCCAGCAGCCATGAGAGAGGGCACAGTAACACGGATGGCGCCATTTTGCTGGGCTGGCTGTTGATTTCTTTTTATTATGTGATTGATGTTAACGTTTCTAATATACAGAAAAGAATGGAGAATAACATTAAAAGCCCTTGTGTGTCCACCCATCACCCAAGTTTGCCATATCAGGATCTTATCATATTTGATTTTTTTTTAAGTGGTGATAGTGGATTTATTTGTAAGCCCGATAACAGACAAATGACAGTTTCACTGACTCTCTCTTACTGACTTGGTGCCTGCAGGAAGGTTTTTGTGCCAGCCTGCTCATTCCTAGGGAGGTTTGCATCGCATCTCTTGAACAAAAATCCCGGGTCTGGCTCAGGTTGGGTTGTGGGCTGTGCATTGGCATATGGGATGCTGGGCTCCAGGGCAGGGAGAAAGTTCCAGACCCTTCCTCCTCTGCTGTTGGGTTCTATGCTTAGGAAACCCTGACCATCGTACCCTTTGGAGTAGCTGCTTGTTTCTAACTATTCTTACCTTTTCCTTTAGGCACCCATTCAGAGAAGGAAAAAGCCTGCTTCGCAGAAAAAGCGACGATTTAAGACTCATAATGAGCACTTGGCCGGCGTGCTGAAGGATTACTCTGACATTACTCCTGGCAAATAGGGACAGGTTTGTCCTTGAACAGAGGACCGATACACATCAGGGTTGTTCTGGTCAATGCTTGGGCTCCGAAGACTCACTGTCCTCCATTCTGCTTCCTAGGGCTGAGGAGAGGAGCAGCTCAGTTTACAGAACAGGTGCAAATTACCAGCCTCACACTCAAGCTCACTGGGCAGGCTAACGAGAAATGTGATGTTCCCTGTAACCTCCAGTTACGTTTTAGGGGGAAGGCACTGTGCGTGGCATGCAGGTGTCTTTGCTGTTTGTCTGCTTCTACAAGGTTCCTGGTTCCATTTTCCCTTGTTTATTACTTTAGAGCAGATTGACAGGTAGTCTTGAATGCGATATTTGTTTATTCCGAAAGAACATATTTATAATAAAATAATTGTAGAAGGATTTTAAAGATGTTAGTGAATTCAGCTTGTTTCCTTTGATTTCTGGAAATGGCAGGCAGCAGTGCCGGCCTGGCTTCCAGGGCGCCTGTCTGGGGTTTGTGAAGATGGAACTCTGCACTGTGTGCTGAGCATGTGGGTCTCACAGTCAGAACACAAGGTGTTTCTCCTGTAGCAAGTTAAGCAATAAAGATGCACTAAACGTCCTTGTTCATGTTTTCTTTTAAAAGTTTAGCCTCTTTCTTCTGGTGGAGAGCCCCCTGTTCCCCTGGCACTTCCCCGCTTGTGAGAGCAATATCAAGGCTGTATGGGTTCTCAGGAGTTAGGGTGACTTACAGGAAATTGATGGGATCGTTCCTGCCTTCTGTGGCAAACCATTTTCAGATGATTTGCTGAGATCTTTTCATTGATTATCTCAGATCCCATGTCACAGACTAAGTTGTAGTGAAGTGTAAAGACAAAATCTCATGTTTCAGAAAGTAGTTAAGATTCCCTTTGGGGTGCCTACACTGCATATTGGAGTATTGGGTTCAGTTCCTGGCTCCAGCTTCCTGTCAGTGCAGACCCTGAGAGTCAGTGATGTAGTGGCCTAAGGATGTTGGGTTTGTGCCAGCTCACATGGGACTTAGAGTGAGTTCTCAGCTCCTGGCTTTGACCTGGCCCTGCCTGGCCATTGTAGGGATTTAGGGAATAAAATAGCAGATGGGCTTCCTTTTTTTCTCTGTTAAAAAAGGTGGTGTGATGGTAGGTGCTTTGTGCAGACAAGGAACCTTGTTTTGCTGTCTTAGTTCTTACCTGTTTACAGTGTCATCTATCTGATTTACCTGCTTCCTATTGCCCAGTCCCAAACCATGGCAGGAGATGTTGTAAAACTGAGGTGCTTATGTTAATTTAGAACAAAGGAAATTCAACATCTCTTGCTGTATTCCAGAAGTTTTTTGTTAGTAAGGAGCTCTAATATATTATATTATGGCATAAAAGTGAGTTTTCCTCAAAAAAAGAAAAAAGCTGGTTTATCATCAGATGCCTACTTTAAAAAAAAGTTTTTAAAATTTTTTATTATTTGGGGGAGACTGAGTGTGTGAACACATGCTTCCATCCACTGAGAAGCTGAGCTGGGCAAAAGCCAGGAACTCAATCCAGGTCACCTCTGTGGGTGGCAGGCTTAACCACTTACGGCATTCCATCAGCACTGCACCCCATGGTTAGCATTAGCAGGAAGCTAGAGTCAGGGGCTGAAGTGAAGTAGTAAGCCCGGGTGCTCTAGTATGGGATGTGGGCATCTTAACCGATCGGCTGAATGCGTGCCCCAAGATGTCTACTTCTGTGGTCTACACACTATATCCTGTTTTATGGGTAGGTCTAGAAATGCATTCTGGGTATCTCAAATCCTTCTCTTACTTTGCAGAGATAGACATCAAGACCTTCATCTCAGGTTCTAAGATGAGATGCTTTCCTGCCACTTGTGATATCCTTAGTGACTTCTCACTAAGCCTGAGCCTACCAGGAATTCAGACTGGACTGATGAAGGAAATGTCTCTTGCTTTTTTTTTTTTTTTAAGGATTTATTTTATTTATTTGAAAGGTAGCGTTAGAGAAGGAGAGACAGAGCTCTTCCATACGCTGGTTCACTTCCCAAATGGCTGCAATGGTGAGGGCTGGGCCAGGCCGATGCTTTCCCAGGCACATTAGCAGGGGCTGGATCGGAAGTGGAGTAGCTGGGACTTGGGCCAATATGGGATGCCAGCACTGTGGGCTGGGGCTTAACCAGCTGCACCACAGTGCTGTCCCCTTGCTCATTTGTGACACTTTAGCTTTCTCTCACTTATTTGCATTTTCTTTTGTTCAGGCTCAGCCCCTTTGCCTACTGCACATAAGGCAGCTCCTCCATATGCCCCCTGCTGCAGTGTTGGGATGGTGTCATCTGGTGACTCGCGAGGAGGATGCAGTCTGTAGAATACCACCATCGGAGCCTAGTTGTGTTCCACGATGGTAGAGTCTGTTAGCAGCTCTGGGTGTCTAAAAACATCTACCAGAAAGTCCAGGCTAAAGTCAGGTTCTCGCCTCTGCCTGTTCCTGCTGGGTCTGCTCCATTTGGAGGCAAGTGGGAACGGGTATGGCTGGGTGAGGTAAAAGGCTATGACAGCTGTAGTGCATTTGATCTATAATTCATCACAATCAGGGGAGGCTTTTAGGGGATAGCTAAGAGAAATGTGTTTGAGCCCAAAGTGTAAAAAGTGAACATTTGGCTGCTCCTGTCACAGCCTGTAAGAGTGTCCAGATGATGGCAGGGCCCTGGGGACAGAGAAGCACTTGATACCTGTTGAGCAGAGCATTAACGAAAAGGCGGTGCAGGAACCCCCGTTACTGGCCGCCCCGGTGTCACAGGAAGACTGGGAAGTCAGCGCTGGGTTTCTTCTGTGAGCCGTTTGTACGCAGCAAAAACACAGATGAGGGACCGGGAGCTGGACCTATCAGCTCCCCGTTCTTATTAGCTACCACTGATCTCTTCAGGCATAGAAGATGGGACTGTCGCCTTTCCCCTCCAGCTGCTGTTTTACGTTGAAGTGATTCCTTTGCAGGGAGGCTGTGGGTTTCTGAGGGTTTTATGGACCGTTAGCCAACAGCCACTAGCAGTGTGCCTGGGAGACACCATGGGGGCAGTTTGTTTCCATGTGTACCTGGGTCTTGTCTTGAGATGGAGGAGTTCTGTGGGAGTTAGGGCAGGGCAGTGGGTTTTCCTGTCTGGGGCAACGTGCTTAGGAAACAGTCAGAATGGACTCTAGCCTTGTGCTGTTGGCTTCCTCTGCCTGTAGTTTAGAAACTACAACACATCTTCCTTCAGAAAAGGGTTTCTACTGGAGATAAATGTGGCCTGTCACTCTTGCGCAGATTGATAAGGCCACTGACCTAGTGCAGCCCCACTGGTTTGGAGGTGGGCCAGCTCCCTGCCACAGCCAGAACCATGTGGCTCAAGACCCTGGGGAAAACCCAGCGACTTGCAGCAGGCAGAACCTCGCAGGGCCCCAGCTCCAGCGACATGTAATACAGCCTTCCCGTGTTTTGTTTTGTTTTAAGCACTGTTTCTCACTGTGTTGTGGTCTTTTTGCTCAAAAGACAAGTTTGGGTTGAATTGAAGCACCTGGCATAATCGAGTTCTGATTTGGTGCTAGTGAGACCATTGTAAGACTTCCATTGAAGGTTTCTTGTGGTTAGGTGGAACCAGAGCACCTGATTTCTCTCTCCTCCCAGACCCTCTGGACGTGAGATGCATGCAGACAGAATGGAAGTCTTCCTGGTTTTGTTTCTGTCCGGCAAATTAGGGTTTGTAGGAAGAAGACCCTCAGCCACACCACCTCCACCCCCAGTGAGGCAGGGATCGGTGCAGTTTGAACTCTGAGGCAGCAGTAGGAGCATTTGTGGGTGCCTGGGACAGCTGCCACCAGAGTAAATGAGAGCAGGCGGGCTGCTGCTGTGCTGGCCTCTCGGGACCGGCAGCTGGACAGGACGGGGTCAGTACCACCAGGGCGTCCGCAGCAGGGGCAGCTGGCAAACTGGTGTTTGGAGGCCTTGATGCAGTTGCTGACTAAGTAGTTTTTCAGGAGTGCAGTTAGTTTCAGTGACGCTGTTCTGAGGAACTGTCTGTGGTAAGAACTCACTAGTCACAGTGCCTGTTCAGCCTTCCAAGGATGTCTGAGACGGCATGACAGAACACTGTGACAGCAGTGCAGCCATCCGGTGATGCTTAGGACTGGGTGCAGGTGCTCTTCTCCCCTAACAGTGATGGCTGCGTGCCGCAAGGAATGCAGGGGGACGAGTGTCTGCAGCCTTGGCACTGAGCTTGCCTCGTCCAAAACACTCAAATTATTGGTTGATTCCCATGTCTCTGCGTCACACAGACACCAAGAACTCTTGTATTGAATGGAGAATTCAGCTGTGCCCCTGTCATCTTAAGATGACTCAGGACCTGGGGATGCCATAATGTGTTGGGGCTTGGAGGGACCTCAGGGGTGGGGCAGCAGTAATTGGAATTTAGTCTATGAAAGCAGGACTGATACCACACAAGCACTGGGTCCAGTGTCTCTGAAGCCTAAATGGAGGTATCACTTTGTATTTTTTTTGTATTCACTTATTTTCAATTTACTTGGAAGGCAGAGACAGAGGACTACCATCCCTGTGTTCACTCACCCAGATGCCTGCAACACCTTGGGGTTGGGTCAGGCTAAAACCAGGAGCCTGGAAGTCAACCCAGGTCTCCCATGTGGGTGTCAGGGACCCAGGTGCTTGGGCCATCATCCACTGCCCTGTGGGCTGTGCATTCGCAGGAAGCTGGATGGAGAGCAGAGCCAAGATTCAAATGCAAGCACTCCCAAAGTGGGATGTAGACGTCCCAAAGGCAGTGCCAAGTGGCTGACCCAGGAGACGTGGCTGACTCTGGGACTTGTAAGGCTCTTTCCAAATTTCTATCATTTGTGATTTTGTCACAGAGGTGGAAGGCAGTTTCATAATTACATTAGTACTGTGTTCGCAAGAGGTTCATTTGGTCATGAAACCAAAGGATGGATGGCTTGATGATCATCTTTCTGGAGCCCACAAACTAGGACTTGCTGCCTGGGAGGCGACAGACGGACCTTTTTGTCTCTCAGATTCCTGATCCCGAAAGAAACGCTGCATTCATTCCTGCTTGACGCTGTGCCAGAAGGACTTTTCAGAGTGAAATGAAGTTCACAGCCACCTGTACATTCAGTGGAATGTACATACTAGACTGATCTTGCACATCACTAATGACCGTCAGTGCGATGGTGACTGGCACAGACTGCAGGAGAAAGGCACAAAGCTGGGGTCAACTGAACAGTTCACGTTTATAGAACTGGAGGATTTGTCCTTGGATATTTGAACCCCAGAACTCAAAGCCAAAACATCATAATAGCTAATAGGAAATTGCTCTGAAATATGCAGCAAAGGGGAATGGAAACTTTCCAAATCAATTGCACCTCATAAATTTGGCCAAGTACAACTTATAACCAAAATAAATAAAATGAATGTGACTGTTCAGCCAGGGACGGGTGGGGATGCCAACGGCCGAAGGCCACCATCTCCCAGGAGTCTGGGCCAGTTTCTGTCACCTCTGAGTTGGAAGCTCACACATGGGCTGGAGGCAAAGCCACATGATCAAGTCTGCCCCAGAGCCGTGCTGAACGTGGATCTCAAGGCCCACAGCCAGCTAGCTGTGGAAAGCTGCATGTTCTCGCCAGGCACCCACGAGTCCCAGGAGATCAGAAGACAGTGACCATGACCTGCTGGAGCTGGACATTCTCCTTTGAAAATAGCAATCCCTGCCACGGAACCAGTAATCCTCTCAGCACCAGCAAGACTGAGTTCCTTGTGGCCGCTGCCATTGCTTGGCAGCTAGCAGTCTGCTCTCCTCCCTGCTGAGGGGAGTGCACACACACACTGCTGCCTTCCTTGTTTTTCACAGAAGACGTGTATCTTCCTTCAGCAAATAGAAATCAACCAATTTTGAGCGACAGTTTCGTAGGCTGCGGCGGGTGTGGCAGCGAGCTGCAGTACAAGGCGTCTCGGAGCTGTGTGACTGCCCCGAGCTGCTCTGGTGTCCGTGCCACAGTGCACGGAGAGAGGTGCTGCCCGGGCTCTGCGTTTCGCACTCTGATCCCTGCGCATGAGCCCAGTAGCTTCTACCGCTTAGCTTGCCGAAGCCTGAGAATGGAAGCAAATCAGCACACCAGGGGGTGTGCAGTGTGGGACGCGTGTGGTCGCTCTTGCAGAAAAGAATTTGCCACACAATGGTACGACAGCTGGAATAAGCACTTTATTTTTTAAAAATGACAATAAAAAAGTACCTTTTAAAGTTTATAAAAGCACAATCGACCGTGAAGTGGCTGTTTTCTTAGGAACAGTACAGGACTCACCAAGATCCCAGCAGGGCCCCGAAACTGCTCCCCGCCCTTTCCCTCTTATTTATGGGAGGAAATGGCTCTTCACTTCTGGCCTTGTTTCTTTCTTTCTTTCTTTCTTTCTTTTTTTTTTTTTTTTTTTTGCGATGGCCTTTAAAAGCTTCTTGACATCTTTACCTCTAACAAAAAATAATAAACCCCAAACCAGCTCTATAAGCATTAAAGAATTGAAGTTTTCAACACAATGTGAGCAGATCAGTAAGAAGGATTGTGATCACGTTTAGCTATATCAGCAGTCAGAAGTCTTAGAGCACTCTGATTCTACGCACGGCTCTCGTACAGGAGGAGCTGGCCGCTGGCCGACCTACAGCACGAGAGGCTTTGTGGCTTTGAAGAGGTCTTTGGAGCAAGCGGAGCAGCGCTCACGCCAGCAGCCACCAGCCGCTTTGTGCTGGCACAGGAGTCGGTCCGTTGGGCACAGTGCTGCCAAGGCTTAGGACCCCAGCCAGACGGATGTACATCTGTGCTGTCCTCCTGAACCAAGGTGCCCCTTGGCAGGGAGACAGACTTGCACTTCCATGGAGTGGGGGGAGGCAGGGATGACTTCTGAAAGTGAGTTTATATTATACATCAGGTGGGTCTCACACACACAGACACACAGAGCGTGCTGTTACGAAGAGAAGCAACTGACACTGGGCACACAGTATGGGTGGTGGCAGCAGTTTTCACCAGCGCCCGGCTGCGAGCATGCCATTATGGTAGAAGCTCCTGGCAGCTTCTGATTGTCTTGCCAGGACATCCCAGGGGACTGGGCTGAGACCTCCTGCTGCAGGAACAGTTCCTAACATCTAACACCGCGTCACTAAGCTGCCCTGGACTCCAAAGAGGGTCCTACACATTCACAGCACGATTCTGGACATTTTGGTAATATTTAAAAACATGCCTCAAACATGCAGCTTATCTTAAAGGGAAAAAAATAGAAAATTTTAATTACAAGCATTCAAAAGTCAAGCACAGAACCTGTGATCCAACCAGTGTAAGCTCACCCATCTGGTCATACATAAAATGTTGGGTATAAAAATACTCACTTTTCTTTGTATTTTTGTTGACTTCTTTTATGTTTCATTTGAAAATATCTCCATACTGTACAGAAATGTCAGACCATGCATTCACAAATAACACTATTCCTTAACAATTATACAGTGTAAAAGAGTAAAACATTTTTATTATATATTTTTTTTCTTCGAGAAAAACAGATGTGTGATAGAGGCTGTGGCAAAGTCTTGAAGGGGTCAAAACTGGGCGAGGTTTTCGCAAGCCTGCAACAGAAAGAAAATGGGTTAGGAGTTCAGAGCTGCACGTCACAGGGGGCCCCGGCCGAGCAGCCCCGGGGACTGCAGACGGGGCCTGGAAAATGGACGTGTAAGTTTAGGAAATGCATATGTATGAGGGGTCTTCAGCAGGCTGATGGAGAAAGCAGATTGGGAAAGAACCACATGGGTTTCAAACTTTTTTTTTTGCACCAAAATAAATTTAGCTTTGAGTTTTTTCCACCAACTTTTGAAGTGTTCTTGTGTGATTTACACAAGGGCACAAGAGTGTCAGGAGTCTTAACTTGGATACATGGCCAACATAGGGTTAATTTCCATTTTCTTTGTGGCAGAACAAATGGTCTTTGAGGTATCACTATAGTCCTTTAGGTTCCCCCAAGGGAACCGGGCTGGGCTTTTCTTTAAACACATCTCAGTTCTGTTCAGTGCTTGAAAGTTACTGAATACACCTTGAGCCCTCTACTGTCACTGTGCCCAATCCCGTACTTTCTTGACCTCCTGCCGGCATGTCAGTCTTGCGTATACGCGTAGCTGTACAAGAGGTGTACATACAAGGAAATAAGCTTGTAGAATTTTGCATTTGGGAAGAGGCTGTAGAGATTGTAACAACTCCTCCAACTGTTCTGAGTTACACTAATCTGGAAAAATGTGTGCTTAGCAGTAAATCTCAAAATTAGAAACATACTTGGGTGAATCCTCAAACACAGCTAACCGGCCGCTCTTAAAAACACTGCCATACACACCAGGGCTGCACAGGGCTGGCTGCACGTGGGTCTCGCCGGGAGACCTAGCTGTCACATCCCAGTTCTTGGCCCACAAGTCCCAGGGCCCACTGTCATGACCATACTTGCAGCTCTCAGACCTCCCCAGGGAGACGCTGGGCAGAGCTTGCCAAAGCAGGGATGGCGCAGCTCAGTAGCGGGCCTGGATGGGAGGCTGATACTTCTCTGACAACTCAGGTTGTAGCAAACAGTAAATGTGTCCTGGCCTCTCAGTTGGATGATGCCCACCAGAGGGGGAGGCCAGACTAGAAAGCTTGTAGTTGGAACTGCTGCTGCCTCCCCAGGCCAGGAGGACTCTTGGAACCAGGAGTGCACCAGAGGTGACCTGGAGAGAATCTCATCTTGTTCCTTCGCCTCCCCAAGGTGCCCAACACATGCTGAGGCAGAGGCAACGTAGACGGGGTCTGGGCGCCCTGCATTGGTGCTCCCCAACCCCCCCCCATTTCTGCCTAGGTCTGTGCAGTGTAGCAGGGGGCACGGCCGCCAGAGGTCCCTCCTGAACCCACGGCCCTCTCCCAGCCGGACTTTGCCATCAACTAATGCCTGGTCTGCTGTCCTGGAAGGAGAGGTGCCACCTTCTGGTGAGAAGAGGAAATGACCGTGCCCTGGCAGTAGGGTGGGGGTGGGCGGGCAAGTGTTCTGCCACCCTGGGTGCCCAGTGTGCTGAACTTGAGCACACGGCAGAGCCTGCACTGTGGCTAGACTCCGGGGACTGGGCCCCTCCAAGTGGGCTGGAGGCCTGTGAGCACGCTCCTGCTCCTACTCTTGGATACCCGGATCTCAACGCCACTAGCACCATCTCAGATGACCTCCTGACCCACGTTGCTTTGGGCCGTAAGGCAACAGCACCTGTACCTCCCTTGCTCCCAGCTCTCCAGTTGGATGTTGGTCCTCAGATCCCAGACACAGCCTCCAAGCGTCTCAGAAGTGCGGGCACACTGCAGGTGCTCCCACGGCTCTCACTGTCCCTGTCCTAGAGGGCTCACTCACATGGAGAAAAACTCAGTTCCGCCATTCAGACGTTCGGGCTCCAGGGCAAATGAGCGGAAGGGTTGGCGGGCAGGCACTGAGGCTGGGCCCTGGTCAGTGCCCATGGTCAGGGAGCCAGGAGGCTGCCTGGGTCATGCTCCAGCCCCAAACTGGCCCCTTCTCTGGTGGGCCTCGGGGTAGGACGGGTCTCATTAATTGGGCTTATCTTTTTTCAAGCAAAAACCAAAACCTGGAAGGGGGGGAGGCGGGAGCCTACAGTCTCCAGAGCGCTCTGTAGCTGCCTTGTAAACTCAGTTCTCACATGGGGAAAGAATGTATCCCCAGCGCCATGGCTGCTCCCAGTCTGAACAAAAGGTCAGAATGTGGCTATTTCAGTCCCTGTAAACAAGGAAGAGGTTTAGCTGGGAATGGAGTTCAACCCTTGGAATGCACTCACAAGGACACTTTAAACATCCGGGAACACGGAGCGCCATGCACGGCGGGCCAGGGCGAGGCTGGCTTTCCCGCATGAAGAAGCTGCAGCACGCAAGCAACACACCGAAAGATGGGGCCCAGACCTCCTTGTTTTGGGGGCACAGCTGGCCCCACTCAAGATACAGGAAGATGTCCCCTGAGGCCTTACGGAGCACCATGGAAGTCTGCAGGGTTTCGTTTCAGCACAGGGCATGGTGGGGGCAGGGCTTCTCCCTGCCCAGGTGTCCGTGAGCCCTTTGTCCTGAGAGAATTCACCTCCTCTCTGCCCCAGCACATCACTTAACCTCATTACCCAAGTTTTCCTCAAAGTTATCCCTGACCGACTGCTTTTCACCAAAAGAAAGGGGACAGTCAGCCCCCCTCCGTCCACCTGCAGACACACGTGGGCATCACAAATGTTCTTAGTGACTCAGCGTTGTCCAAATTCCCGTGCTGGTGCCCCCCTGCCCCAGCTCTCCCCTCCAGGGGTCGCACTAAGCCGCGCAGCCCGACCTCAGCCTTGGGAATACAAAAGCCGCCTCCTGCTAGATCCTGGGGAGGTGCACTTTGAATCGCCGCAGTCAGTGCTCACCTTGCTGTTCCTGCTGCCCCACTGCTCGGGGAAGCTGGGGCCTGGGCAGCCTGCCTCTTAGCTGTCCCCTTCTGTCCCTCCAACTCTCCTGCCAGCTTGGACTGGGCTCGTGCGCCTGGGCCGTGCATGACTGACACTTCAGCTGCTTCCTGCATGTCCAAATTCAGGATGTCTGGCCTGCTGCTTCCAGAAAACTGCATGTGTGGCTTTTAAGTTTCCCCAGAGTGGAGAAAACCCCAAATCCTGTCTTTTAAAGTGTTACAGCTGCGACATAGCACGTAAAGCCATCGCCTGTGACGCCAGCATCCCATGAGGGCACTGGTCCCAGCTGTTCTACTTCTGATCTAGCTACCTGCTGATGTACCTGGGAAAGCAGCAGGAGACGGCCCAAGTCCCTGGGCCCCTGCACCAATGTAGGAGATCCGGAGGAAGCTCCTGGCTTCAGATTGGTCTGCTCTGGCCGTTGTGGCCATTTAGGGAGTGAACCATCAGATGGAAGACCTCTCTCTGTCTTTGCCTCTTTGTAACTCTAACTCTGCCCTTCAAATGAATAAATCTTAAAAATATAAGACTATTGTGATGAAAGGCACACTATTAAATGAGGCAGCTGCCACTGGTGGGAGACGGAGCAGCCCCTGCGTCATGTACCCTTGCTTCGAGCCTGAGGCAGGCAGGCAGGCGGGCGGGCGGGCGGGCGGGCGGGGTGGGGGGGCTGTGAACCGCCTGGAGAGCTGCCCAGGTGCGTGCTGGTCTAAGACAGCCGCAGAGGTGTGTGCTGCTGCGGGCAAGCACAGAGAAGTCCTGTTCTGACCGTGCCATTGTTCCAGCCCCAAGAATGCGGTAATGACCTGCTGGCCAGAACTGCCTGCCCCTTTGTCCTGGGCAGGAGTTGCGCCCTGCTGTCTGACTCATCTCCGTCGGCCCCTCACAGGGATGAGATTTGCCACCTTATTTGGGCTGAGACACAAAGCGCTGTCCGCCTGGCCCTGGCATTCCTGCTGCTCACAGCCAGGCCTCCCAGAGACACGGGGAAGGCCACAGGCAAGTCACCCCCGGAAATGCCAGCTGATGTCAGCGGGACAGACCCGTCACCCAACCCCTGCCAGCCACAAAAACCCAGGGACCACGGGGCTCACAGAGCCCACACAACTCGGCCCTGTCCCGCTTCTGACGCGCCTCCTCTCTATGTATCCCCCGCTGCCGTCCTGGGACAGCCTCCCCTCCACAGCCCTGGCTGGTGGGCACCAGGAGCCGCCATGCCATCACCTGGCCAGCGGCTGCTCCCCAATGGCAGGCTCCCCGCCGAGGCCCGGGTTCCCAGGACCTGTGGCCGCTCTGGAAGGCTTGGTTGCACAGCAACTTGGGAACTCACCGGCACGCTCCAGTTTTGCAGAACAGCTGGAGCACAGTGACCACCATGGAAGATTGCATTAAAACCCACAAGACAGATTGCAGCCGCCATCACACACCTGGGACCTGGGGTGGAGAGAGAGATCACCCATTAGCGGTGCGGCAACCTCCAGCATGGCTGGGCTCCCTGGCTTTGAGGACCAGCCCGCTCCGAGGGCAGGGAGCCAACGATGCACTGTCACCTGAGAGTGACGGCACAGGGTGGGCGCTGGGCAGCAGTTAAGACGCCCGTCATGGGGCAGTAGGGCAGGCTATGGGTTGGGATGCTTGCATATCTTAGTGGGGTGCCTGGGATCAAGTCCCGCCTCTGCTTCTGGTCCAGCTCCCCACTAATGCACCCTGGGAAGCAGAGGACGAAGGCTCAAGTGCTTGGGTCCCTGCCAGCCATATGGGAGACCCAGATGGTACTCTGGGCTACTGGCTTCAGCCTGGCCCAGCCCTGGCTGCAGCGGACATTTGGGGAATAAACCAGTAGGTAGAAGTGTCTTTTGCTCCCTGTTGCTCTGCCTTTCAAATACATAAAGAGAAATTAATAAAGACACTGCTTGGGATTGAGCCCCAGCTCCACTTCTGATCCAGTTTATTGCTAATGCACCCTGGGAGGCAGCAGGTGATGGCTCAAGAAGTTGGGCCCCTGCCACCCACATGGGAGACCCTGAGGGAGCTCTTGGCTCCTGGCTTCAGCCTGGCCCAGCTCTGGCTGTTGTGGGCATTTGGGAATGAACCAGTGGACAGAAGCTCTCTGCCTTTCACTTATGTCAAAATAAACTTAGAACACAAAAACAGAACTTAACAGAATTACTTAAAATTTTTTAAAAAGACCCTGTGACCCTCCAAAAGCCCTAAGGAGGAAGGCATGGCACCCAGGGCCCCTGCCACACAAGATCCAGAATCAGAACCGGCCCAGGAGCGGCCTCAGCCCGCGCAACGGCATCCGGGTGCTGCCACTCACACCAACGACTCAGGTTTGCTGTGAGCTCCTCCAACACAAAACCCCACAGGCAAGCCATCTGCAAGCCCCAGGCTCTCAGGGCTTGGAAAGACCAGGGCGCAGGGATTGGCAAGGCATCCATTTTTAATGTTGCCCCTGCAGGCACCGTGCCTTCCCAGGGATTCCCGGGCCCCTCGCCGGTGCCGCTGGCCTTCGGGTACCCAGCACAGCGGCGCAGCCTCTGGGCCGCCCCTCGGCAGGTGAGCCTGCCTCTCTCCCCAGGATTAAGGAGAAAACAGGGCTTTCCCCAGGAAACCATTAACAGACGAGGAGACGAGGTTCCCCTTGCGGGCGGAGTTACTTTGGGACAGGAGCACAGATCTGCGTCTTTACAGTTGGAACCCGTGAGCTCGGCCCCGCTCCCAGCCTGATGCACACTCGCTGACGGCACAGTGGCTTCACCTGGCGGGCAGTGAGAGGCCTGGCACCGGCCCCCGGGGTTAACTCCCCGGGGAAAATGCACCTGCCATGGTGTTCATCTTAATCCTCATGCAGAATGCTCCCATGCGGCTGGGAAGGTGAGGGGCTGCCACCGGAGGCTTAGACAGGTGCTCCTGACCTGGCACGGCCCTCAGCCATGTTGGGGCAGGAGCAGGGGCTCCAACTCTTACTGCGTTGGGGTGTCAAGCAAGCCTCATTGGGTGCTGGTGTTGTCAGTGGACACGTCCTGTGTGTAGCTTACTCAGGCCCAGGGCTCACAGCAGTGCCTGGCAGGGCGGTCCCCAGGGGGGCAGGTGGCAGCTTCGAGAGGACCACCCCCACAGCAGGCTGCCCACAGGCCTCCCAGCAGAGAGGAAGCCGAGACGGAGATAAGAGAAGTTAAATTCTCCCTCCAAACTTCACTGCGGTGGGGTCTGCTCTCAAAGAAACCCCAGGCTGGGACAGCTTCCACTTTGTCTCCCGGCTGAGCCCCGCCGCTCTGCACATGGCCTGCAGCCCTCATCCTCACACTTTGCTTTATTGGGTCCCATAACATTTATGGCTCCCTGACTTGTTAATGTTTATTACTCCGTTACCCAGCGGCTGTTCACCGAACTCCACTGTGTTACTATCCCACGTGTGAGAGGGAGACCTCGGTTTACGGAAGAAAGGGGAGCAGCAGTCTCTCATAAGCACTACCCTAGGTTCTGGGGGAGAACATGACCGTGGGCCTCTTGGAGAAGGCAGGGGAGATGGCAGGAGCCACAGCAGCTGCCTGGGACTGCCTGAAGCTCTGGCTCTGCCTAGCATCAGGACCGCCTGAGCATGACCCTGCTGCAGGGGTACTCGCACCCACAGCCAAAGACATACCAGGTGTTCCTCCCCAAGCAAAACAGACGGAATCCATGGCTTCGGATTCCAGCAATGTCACCTCTCGCCCAGCCCTAAGTCTGAGGCTGTGAGGACACGTGCTCAGTTTCCATGGCCAGAGAAATGTCACAAGTACTTAAAGAACACCCCTCCTACACCCACCCAACTCCCAAACTCTCCCCTCTATAAAGTTGAGGGGCCGGCACTATGGCGTAGCGGGTAAAGCTGCCGCCTCCAGTGCTCACATCCCATATGGGCGCCAGTTCGAGTCCTGGCTGCTCCACTTCCGATCCAGCTCCCTGCTAAGGGTCTGGGAAATGCATTGCAGACGGCCCAAGTCCTTGGGCCCCTGCACCCACGTGGGAGCCACTGTGCCGTCAGCGAGTGTGCAGCTCCTGGCCTCCATCAGCCAGACGGCCCCCTGCACAGACCTTGCTGCCACTCTCCACGTCCGTGCCGGGACTGGTACCATCCTGCCAGGGCGGGAGGAGGAGGGCCTCACGTGCTGTGGGGGAGGGGCGCTGCCTTCACGCAGACCCGCTGTGGCCTCAGATGTTTGTATGAGCTCATCAGCACCACCGTTTTCCAATTCTAAGTTACATTGCTCCAAGATTACGTAGCCTGGATTATTAGCTGTCTTGGACAGGACTTGGTCCAAGAGACCAGAGGAGTGGGAATGACAGATCCACCCTGAGCTGGTCTAGCTCCGGGTGAACAGCACGTGAGGCCATCCCCGCTCCACGCCCGCTGGACGCCAGCGGAGGAGTCTGGCCCTGGCCCCGGGTGGCCCAGAACAAATGGCTCGCCCCAGCGCGCATCACGTACTCTGAGGCAGACGGTTTTCATGAGCAGCAACTGCTGGCCCTAGTCTCTGGCTGCTGCCACCCTGCTGGTTCCTGGAGGATGAACCCTGGGACAAAGTCAGGGGGCCGACAGAGAAGCCTGGGGTCTCTTACCGGAGCCCATGCAACTGCCTCAAGATGGACACCCGGGCCCAGAGCTATGGCATAATAGGTTAAGCCTCCGCCTGCAGTGCCGGCATCCCATATGGGTGCCAGTTTGAGACCCAGCCGCTCCACTTCTGACCCAGCTCTCTGCTGTGGCCCGGGAAAGCAGTAGAAGATGGCCCAAGTCCTTGGGCCCCTGCACCCAAGTGGGAGACCCGGAAGAAGCTCCTGGCTCCTGGCTCTGGACTGGATTGGTCCAGCTCCGGCCATTGAGGCCATTTGGGGAGTGAACCAGCGGATCGAAGACCACCCCCCCACACACACTCTGCCTTGCACTCTCTGTAACTCTTTCAAATAAATTAAAAAAAAAATAATGGATGCCTTCCCTTGGGCCTGAAAACAGCCCCTGCTCTGGTCAGTGCCACTGCTCCTCGCCAAGGTGCAGGTTAGGTTCTCTGGCCCCTTCCCAGCTTCACTAGAGCCCTGTGCTGGCTCCCGCCTCACCTGAGCCTCCCGAGCCCTCCTCTCCCCCTGGCCTCTGCCCCCTGGGCCAGCCTGTGAGCTCTGGGCTCTGAGACCCGCTCCCGACTTCCACAGCGGCTGTGCCTGCCAGGCCTGCACCTGCAGTTCGCCGCGCATGCGCTTCAGCGTTCCCCGGTCTCTTCTAGCTACCTCCAGCCTCCCAGACTCTGCGGGCTCAGAGATGCGCACGATGGCCCCGAGGGGTGGGGCTGGGGGGCCAGGTGCTCAGAGTGGGGTCCACACCAACAGGGCTGTCTGTGGCTGGAGGGCAGTGCTGGGTCCCGGTCACCATGGCGACAGGGAGAGGCTCCCAGGGACTAACTGGCTCACGAAGAGCAAACCTGATGCTAACCAGGGGCACATGGACATGCAGCAGGGACCTAACAGACCCCGAAGTGGCACTTGAGGGATGTAGCAAGGTCTGTCCTAAAAAGCAAGCATTCACATCTTGCACAATAGACATTCCAGGTGTCTCCTGTGGATGGCTGCCTTAAAACACAACTGCCCCGAGTGACGCGAGCATTTCACTTAGAGACACACACCCAGCCTAACTTCAGAATAAGGAACAAATCCAAGCAGCCCAAGGAAAGAACCCACTCTGTATGGCGTGGCGGTCACTGGTTTACAATTCTGGCTAAAGATTAGGGCATGGTTTCCCAAAGCGTGCTTTACGGAAGACAACAGTCTTTTAAGATTCTGTTTAAAAAAAAAAAAAAAAAAAAAAGCCAGCGCCGCGGCTCACTAGGCTAATCCTCCGCCTGGCGGCGCCGGCACACCGGGTTCTAGTCCCGGTCGGGGCGCCGGATTCTGTCCCGGTTGCCCCTCTTCCAGGCCAGCCCTCTGCTGTGGCCAGGGAGTGCAGTGGAGGATGGCCCAAGTGCTTGGGCCCTGCACCCCATGGGAGACCAGGAAAAGCACCTGGCTCCTGCCTTCGGATCAGCGCGGTGCGCCGGCTGCAGCGCGCCAGCCGCAGCGCCATTGGAGGGTGAACCAACGGCAAAGGAAGACCTTTCTCTCTGTCTGTCTCTCTCACTGTCCACTCTGCCTGTCAACAACAACAACAACAAAAAGATAAAAAAAAAAAATTAAAAAAAAAAAAAGATGTCCTGGTCCCAGATACCTCTGAGAAACATTGCACACCAGAGCTCTCCTGCTCTTCAAACTTCGTGACGTGCGCAGTGCAATAAAGGGGTTGAGAATCTTGGTAAATAAACCTGACCTTGGGCACTCTGCCTACAGTTATCCTAAGGGTTGGTGCTCCAAAGCCACACTCAGTATGCTGAGTTAGGGGAGGAGCAGACACCACTCTAATGCATCCAAGTACAGAAATGCTCCCCTCCGCCCCCACACACACCTTCTGATCAGCACCATCTGAGGAAGAATCCCCAGCGGCCGGCTCTGCCAGACCCTCCTGCCAGCCCCTGCTCCCCGCTGTTCCAGGAGACCCTTCCTTTCAGGACTAAGGCGCCTGCCCTGACCAGGGCTCGGCTGCAGGGGCCCTGGTGCCAAGGAGACTTCAGGTCAACAGGCAGCATGCCTTTGGGAGAGGAATCCTGGGCTGCACAAAGCCCACGGTCCAGGACGAGGCTCATGGCTCCACGGCCAGCACCGGGCGTGCATGCTGGCCAGCGTGCCGGCCCCTGAGCGCTTGCACGGGAATGCTGTGACGGCTTTGCTCTTCTCACTCTGCTTCGCGCTTTGTGAAGGAATGATGTGAACCAGGAGATGCTGGCTGTGGCACTGTAACATTTTAAAAACCTAATTTTGGGGGCCTGCGCTATGGCGCACTAGGTTAATCTTCCGCCTGCAGCACCGGCATCCCATATGGACGCTGGTTCCAGTACCGGCTGCCCCTCTTCCAGTCCAGCTCTCTGCTGTGGTCCGGGAGTGCAGTGGAGGATGGCCCAAGTGCTTGGGCCCTGCACCCCATGGGAAACCAGGAAGAAGCTCCCGGCTCCTGGCTTCAGATCGATGCAGCTCTGGCTGTTGTGGCCATTTGGGGAGTGAACCAACAGAAGGAAGACCTTTCTCTCTGTCTCTCTCTGTAACTCTACCTCTCAAATAGATAAATAGAAATCTAAGCAAACAAACAAAAAAACCTAACTTTGGCTGGGACCCCACCACCACCACCAAATTAGAGTTCAGAGTGATGGTGCTTTGTATTCAACAGGAATTCGGTCAAGAAACTGAATTACTAAAGGCATTGCAGGCACTTCCCGTTTGTATAGGGAAAAAAAAATGCATTGATTCACTGAAATAAAATTGGGCCTAAAATGGCTCAAAATCCCAGTTTAGGATACTGGATCCCTGTAAGGGAAGCACACTGAAGTGGTCCACTGCCCTTGGTACAGAATCGGGCACTCTGGGGAGACGACAGGTTTTGATCACAGTGTGTGTGCAAGGGACGCTAATTCCAACACACCTCTCTAAGATGCCCGTAACAAACTTCCATGCAAATGATGCGCCTTAGTGGATGACTTACGCATGGACCACTTCCTTTTCAAAGAGGAATGCCAGCAGCCGGTCCCTTATAGGGAGACTCAGACAGCCCCGTGGCTCACGCCGCCCTGGGTCCCACAGCCAGACTCCCTCAGAAGACAGCACTGCCCTGGGGCGGTCCCCCCCACCCCCCAGCTCGCGCAGCCAAGACAAGCATGAGCAGGTGCTCTGCCCCTTCCTTGGCGGAACCAGGTACTCACACAGTATTCAGCAGAACTGACGGGACTTCCAGCCCTGAGAAGTAGCCTCGGAGGGAGGGAGCCAGCGCATCTGCAGAGACAGGTGGGGAGAAGCCGTGAGCCGGGGCCCCTCTGCCGCTCTCACCCCTCCCAGTTCCAGACAGAACCACCGACACTGGCCTGTGTGGACCTCTCTCCCAGAGCCGGGTGCTGGGGCTCTCGCATGCCCTCCTTTGCAAGTTTCACAGGTGCCATGAGGCCGGGCCGTGGCCCAGGGAACTCCCTCCTGCCCTGCAGACTCACCTTAGGGCGGCCCAAGGGGGAGGAAGTGGCCGAGAAGGATGTGGACATGTGCGTCTGCTTTGGAAGGAAGGGGCATTCACGACCCCTCGCACACCAGTGGCCTGGCCAGAGCTTCTGAGACGCTGCTGTTCTCTTTAGAACAAGGGCCCAGCTTCCAGGCATTGTTGGGGTGTCTGGCACCCCACACCCTCGGCTGTGTTGAGGGGAAGGACCTGTAGCCCCATCTCTCCCCCAAGGTTTGCAAAGTGGGAGGACTGCTCCAAACACAACCCAAACAGATGGGGGTTTATTAAGCACTCGTGCACCTGCCATCCGTGGGCAGTGGCAGCCTGGCCCCAGGGCCCTCGGACAGAGGGAGATGTCCCGGCGGCTCTGCAGGGATGCACGGAGAGCTCCTATCCTCCAGGCGGGGAAATCGGCCGAAGTCTGGGTATTCCGAGTGACCGTGGCCACACAGCCCGCTGGGCCAGGCCTAGGTTGACCAGGCTCCATGAGATCCGCTAACTTGACCCACAAAGCCGGGATGCCGAGACGCTGGGCCCCAGAGAGAGGCCACGTGGTCTGCCTGGCCAATGGCCCCTGGTCCACACACACCGGAGTTGTTGGGCCTCACGAAAGCAGGACGGAGTGCTGCTCCACCTGCCTGGCCCAACCTGGGGCAGATGTGTCAGCTTTGTTTTGGAAATGGCGGCTTAAAGGGACCAAGGCCCCATTTTGAACTTCTGCCTATCCCAGGAGTCTACCTGAGGCCAACGGTATATTAGGTCTCCCCAGGGGACCACGTCAGCTGTTACAAGGAACCAGATGGGATGGCTTGAGGGAGCCCCAGGATGGCGAGAGCCAAGCTCGTGTCCGCAGAACGGGCAAAGGCATGGTGGCACTTCCCACGCAGGGGGGGCTCAACAGCACGCTCCTCTGGGAACTGAGGGGTGTGGGGGGTGGGGAGGAAAGTGTGGGATGCAGAGGGGTGGGAAAGGAAGGGGGAGGGGAGGGAGAGTCTGGAAGAGGAGAGGGAGCGGGCGGAAGGGGGCATTAGACAGAGAGAGAGGCATGAAGAAAAAACGCGTACCTACCCATGGCTACGGCTTTGTGCATCTGATCCACTTGCTCACTAAGCACAGGGCAGGGTTGGAGCTGCCTTCCTGAGACAGGTGGTAAAGGCCAGGCCAGGGGCACAGAGCCCCCGGGGCCGGTGGGGGGCTGAGAACCTAAACACACAGCGGAGGGGCATGGGTCTGTGTGCACCAGGGGCAGAGTGGATTGCGGGGGTGGCGGCAGGTGCTGCCCGGGGCGGTGGCGTGGAGAGGAGACACAGGAGGGAGGCTGGCTGGGGAGGAGAGCCGAGGGGTAGGCGGCACGGTCTGCCCCCGGGGACGGTGACCCTGGGGCCACCTGCCTCTCCATGGCTCAGGGGCCTGGTTCCTATTTGGCCATACCTGCCTCCTGCAGGCAGGCACCCAGAGCCAGGTGGGGTGGGGGTGGCAGCCGGGGGCACTGACAGCCCTCAAACACATCACTTGTCTGCCCCATGCTACCGTGCCTGCCAACCAGGTGTCCACGGACACCAGGGCAGCCTCCCCTTGCAGCCCTGGGCCCAGGGCCTCTGTGCTGAGGTGAGGGGAGGGTGTGCCCTTGGCTGACTCGGGCTGCTTGAACCAGAGAAACCCAGGGGTCTCTCCAGACTCCCTGGAGCCATGGCGTTCAGCAGGGTTTAAGTCTACTCATCTGAACGACGTAATAAGGGCTGGCCTTCCATTAAGATAACGGTCCTTTGCATTTCTTCATCCTGTCTGTAGAAAAACGCCCTGTGCTCTCTCTCTCACACACACACGCACACGCACACGCACGCATGTGCCAACCTCAAATAGGATGCCCAGGGGCTTCTCAAATTCTCACAAGAACCTGACGTCGTATGAGGGTTCTTCAAAACATCCACAGAACACAGAATTAAAGGTAAGATAATCTTGGTGTAAAAAAGAACCCCAAAACCCAAATTCAGTGACGTTTCTCCCCTAATATTCCTTTCTCATTTTTCCATGAACTTTATGAAGACGACTCAGGTATTCACCCAAAACAGACCCTGCCAAGCAGCGGGAGACCACGGCGAGTGCTGCACCCGGAGAGGGACACGGGAGGCAGTGCCGTGGAAACCCCTGGCCTCCCCTCCCCTGGAGCTCACAGTAATGGCAGAGCCACTACTGCTCCAATGCCCGACCCAGGGCCAGTCCACTGCTGTGCTTCTTCCAGAATGTTCTTTTCAGATACACAGTACCCCTGGAAGGCAACACTGGACACCTCCACCATCTTGGCGTGGGAACAGACTGGACAGGAGGAGAGCACCAGGAAAGACCAGAAAGCACTCGGAGCAAACCTAAAGCAAACCTAAAGTATGTGAGAGGCAAGCCGCACACGACGCCCATGCCCGTCCAGCTGGAGCCGAGGGCGACGAGGCCCCGAGGATGACAACACAGACAGAGCTTTCTCTCCCAACAGTGCTGCCAGGGACAGCAGACCCTGCCTCGTCTCCCCGGCCACGCCACGACACAGCCCACTCATCCCTCACCCTCAGGAATACGGCCATGGCCAGGGCTCACCAGGCACCTGGCTCAGTGAAGGGTCTCTACTGTCGGGGATGACCCTTCGGTTTGGTCATCCCCCCCCCCCCCAGTGGAATAAAGGGACAGGAGAGCTGGTTCTCCAAGTGTGGGACCTGGACCATCCGTCACCAAGGAACTTGGGAGAACTGCAGCAGTCTGCATTGTGACGTGTCCTCCGGGGGGCTGTGATGCACACACTCGGTGACAGATGCTACTCTTGACGGCTTCCAAAGGCGGGGCCAGAAGCTGGGGTCATGGAGGCGGAAGTCAAGTGGGAAGGCACCTGTGGCCTCTGCAGACGCGCCGCACGCCAGCACGCAAAGGCTCCGTGCATTCCACGGTAAAGAAACTTGCCCGAGCCGGCGCCGTGGCTCAATAGGCTAATCCTCCACCTTGCGGCGCCGGCACACCGGGTTCTAGTCCCGGTTGGGGCGCCGGATTCTGTCCCGGTTGCCCCTCTTCCAGGCCAGCTCTCTGCTGTGGCCAGGGAGTGCAGTGGAGGATGGCCCAGGTGCTTGGGCCCTGCACCCCATGGGAGACCAGGAAAAGCACCTGGCTCCTGGCTCCTGCCAGGATCAGCGCGGTGCGCCGGCTGCAGCGGCGGCCATTGGAGGGTGAACCAACGGCAAAAGGAAGACCTTTCTCTCTCTCTCTCTCACTGTCCACTCTGCCTGTCAAAAAAAAAAAAAAAAAAAAAAAAAAAAAAGAAACTTGCCCGGCCTGAAGCAGCCCTGGGTTTCCCAAGTGTATCTTGCCACAGAATCTTCTAGTGTGGACCAGCTATGGATGCCAGTGGGGGTCCAGAAAGGTTTCTGGGGAAGGCCCAGAGGCAAGAGGCTGAGCTATGCCAAGTGGCATCCGACTTCCCCGGGAGCATGCTGACCTCTGACTTCTCCTCATGCGGGTCTGCATCCAAAGTCAGATTTCCCCAGCACCACGCTGAGAGCGAAGCTCTCCCTCTTGGAACGAGACAGTAAGCCGAGCAGGTGTTTTGTGCAAGCGATAGACCAACCCATTTTTAAGGCATGGAGTCTTAAGCAGGTTCCCATCACAGCAGCCAGGATGGAGCCGAATGCCCCCGTGGGGGTCTTCCCCAGGGAGCCATGCACACAGTGAGTTAGCCACAGTCAGCCCTGCCTCCACTCACGCGCACCTAGGGACCTCCCGATGGGGATCAGCACCAAGTACAGGTGCGTGGCCCTGCGGCAGTGCAGAGCCGGGAGCATCCTCTGCTCCAAGACACTCCAAAGTCACCCAAGAGCCTGCAGTGCTGATCTGCAACACAGACAGAGGCCCCTTCACAGCACCGGGGACGGGCTGCCCGGAGTGACGACTCTCCCTGTTGCTGGTCAAGCAGTCACCCAAACAGGGAGAACACCAGCCGGCGACCGGCGCCCTTCCTCTCCACCTGCCGAGCTGGTGGCGCGAGCTCTACCTCGGCAGCCACAGGGCAGAAAAGTCTGGCATCCCATCTCCCTGGCCCAGCACAACCTACGTAAGTCACTCTTGTCTTGGCAAAATGTCAGGATTAAGGTGACAGGGGCCAGAGGTTAATCGTGCCACCTCAGCCACCCCTGTGGCCAGAAGGGTGGTGGAAGGGGGGGTGGAGGGTTGTCCTGCCTTGGCCAAGGGCTGGGACCCAGGCAGGGACAAAGTCACAAGGGCATGGTCCCAGGACCCCCGACGCCTCAGAAGACCAGGGCGGGCTGGCCTGGGTTGGGCACCAGCCTTCGGGGTCACCTGTCTCTCCCAGGCCACTGGCCTCCTTGCCTGCCTGTCCTGAGCCCCATGCAGGCCCTGGCTTCCAAGCGGGCATGAGAAATACGCTACGACAGCTGGGAGGCTGCTCAGGACGCACTGGGGCCGGGGGTGGCCGGGCGTGTAACGCCCTGTGTCAGATGAAGTGGGCCGTGGCTGCTCGCCATCCATATTTAATTCCGTCGGTCTGTTAATTTTTAACCACATTTGCTATCAAGGGCCATTAGCGGTCCCCAGGAGCCGGGCCCAGTGAAGCGAGTGGGGCTTCGTGGCGCAGCGCGTGAGGCTGGAGGCTGGGGGCGCCCCACTTCCCCGTCCTGTCACTGGGCCCCACTGGCAGCCGAATCCTGAATAAAACATGACCTCATTCGGAGCAGATTTCACTTTTTCCCCCCTGTCACAACCGGTTTTCTTCAAGGAGAAAAGTTCACTT